TCGTTCGACTACGGAACACATTTTGATTGGTGGTATGCGAAACCATGCAGTCACTGTAGATTGAAACAGTCAATTATGATTGTAATGTATACACGATGATTAATTCTAAAATTACCGACGGACCTGACGCGACTTCATATATGAGTGTAAAGTAAATTCAATCACCCTTATATTGTACTAAAATAAATTTTATCGCAAACGAGATTTTTCTAGCGGTAATATCTTCAAAATAGAGTTGAGCTAGTGCTGCAAGGACAGCTCAGATTTGTCGAGTTCACGAAATCGCAAAACAAGATATAATCGTGCACTTCTTGCATTTTATGTCCGGAGGTTGGAGTTGTATTTCAGAGTTATAGTGCTTTCATTTTGTCGAGGCAACCCCAGGTTAAATTGATCGTAATTAAACTAATGAAGCAAGACATTCGAAATATGCCCGCATGGATTGATTACCTTGCGCAAAAAAGATCATTATTCGTTGAAAATGTCGGCTCTTTAAACGAGTAGCGTATAATTGCGGAGAGTGTTTCAGAAGCCATTCCGCGGGAATTTCGAGGCGATGATTTTTGATATATCAATATACTTATATGTATTTTTATTATACTAAATTAAATCGCATTCTTGATCTTGAGATTTTTCTAACGACGATGACGGATTTGGAAGATCGCAAAGTTACGCGTATTAAAACTAAATATTATCTGTTAGTTTTTCTCACATTTCTATGTTCGCAGAAGTGGACTCAACCGCGAGTTCGTTCAACCCAATTAAATTAAATAGAAAGACATTTTAAAGTCTCGTGATGACGTGAATTATTACTTGACAGAAAAATCATTATACGTTGAAGAAGTCATTATGTTCGAAAAGATATAGGTGCCTGTATCGGCGTGCATAATATACAAAAATAGTACTTGGTATTACTATCAATAACGTTTATGATTTATATGATAAAAACGGGTAGCATGCGTGTAAACATGCGAAGATTTTTGGGTTACTTCCACATCGGCAGGACTGCAAGATAAATTAATGAAGGTGCTTGCCTTTTGGGTTTTCCAACGTCTTCACTGCCAACTTCCAATATTTTCAGCTAATCCCCCATAATCCCACAACGCACACAGAAACCGCGTCGCTGTATCTAAAATCATATATATATATCCTGATTCAAATTCTGCAAAAAGGAATTGTGAGTTTCGATATATAAGGGAACGTTTAATGAATACGATATTTACATATGGATCATTTCTACAAATTGTTGTTGCGAAAATATCTAATGAATCGTTCGATATTAAAATGCATATAATATTATACTGCAGTGTAATTATGTTTTTGCAGCTATCATACCACATCTAAACCGGAACATGACCGAATCGTCAATGATAATATCAACATACGATCGTTGACGAACGGTAAAATAAGTCTTTTGTATTTATTCCTATATTATGATCATAATGTTTATGTAAATCATAATGTAAGGGTGTTTATATTCATTTCATTTACAATTTACCTTCGCTGTGTTCTCTTTTGGACAATAAGCGTTCTTATCGCTCCGAAGAATTGTTATTGGACACGAACTGAAGCTATGGATCGTTACGTCGTTTTGTATTCTTGTTCTTGTTGTTATGAAAAAATTGCCTTTCCCATTAACTATTGGACCAAGTTCTTCGGAATTTTCAGTGGTTTAGTAATCGTATTTTTGGCTAGAAGGCCAAATATTTATAATTATAAAACTCCCGCTGAAAACCACTATTGGCACGCCCGGATTAATGAATTTATTGAAGTGTTAGTAGATGCTGTTCTCCGCGATCACCTAGGTGGAAAGGGATTCCACATAGCTGGAAATTTTTGGTAAAATCACCTAATTTAGATATAGAAAGAGATATTGCGAACTTTGTGGGGAAGACGAAAAGTAAAATTTCGAACAAAGTATTAGACGATATCACACGACCACTTTCTCTTGTCCTTGTTGTCTTTTTATTTGTTAATTAATTTTAATTTGTTAATTCAGGCCCTGTCAATTTTAGTGTTGTGTCATTGCTTGTAATATGAAGTTAATATTACGTAAACGGTCACCAATAAGAAACAAGCCTTGAAACTTTCCCGGTCACAGAATTCGCGTGTCACTTACCACGCAATCTTGTTCAAAAAATGCGTATAAGGTCATGTCTTTTTAACTAATTGTATGGCGGCAATTTCTACATGATTCGTGAAGTGCATAAAGTATGAATGTCATTTCCGTTCCTCCAAGCTATCTAACCATAGAAATGATGTAACCGTTTCGCTTCAATCGTCCGATTTTTTATTTCATTTTACCTTTATCGACGCCCATTCACACGCGCCCATGGCTATGCCTCTGGCTGTAGAGACATATTTTTTGTAACAAAAATTCAAACGAACGAGGACAAATCTTTCCTCCGATACGGTTTGGTTGTTCGCAAGCTTCGAAAACTGACGTAAATACTACGACTTGCATTGTTTGACGTCTTGCGTTGGTAACCGTTTTGTAAATAAAATATCTGAAAATTGACTGCTGAGTTGAATTGGATGGATACCGCCGTAATCAGTAATGTAGCGCGAAATTGCTAATGATTAAATAACAATAAATATATTTGTCATGGATTGTTTTGGATTGAAAAGATTTTTAGGCCGAAACTGCTGTTTTTGTGGATCTGATGATGCTTCATTGACGGACGAAGGTTTGTTCGATTTTAATCTTCTATTTTTAATCAACTTATTCGATTAACAATTAGTTTCGCGAATTATGTTACAATATATAAACTAAATGACGATCCTGGTTGAAGATGAAATATAAGTTTAAATTACGGTATGGATTTCGTGTAAGATTTATGCTACACTACGTAAGATTCTACTGTACTATATGATTCTGCCTGAATTGCATATATACTACACACTTAATTGGCTGGGCATTACACATTCCAAGAACTTTAAATAAATTTATGTTTTTTTCATTATTTTTCTTTATTTATAGCACATTTGTCACTTAGCTGTGTTTCTGAATGCTTATACAAATTTGAATACATTTAGTTCGTCTCGAAAACACGAATATATATTTACGACGACTTGCTTTAAATATTGTCACTTTAACTACTGTAATTAGCTAGTAATTATAATCATAAAAATATTAACGGTGGTACTGTGTTTTCTATCTTATTTCGTGTAGCAGAAAACCCCATAGAATGATAGATTATTTTTTGCAATCAAACTAACTGATTTTAGGCTCAAAATGAGTATAAATCATTTGTCATTATTACCTTTATGTAATATTTGAGCAAGTTTCACACCAATGAATTTTCGTCATATAAGAGATGTATATATGTACTATCAATATTGATCTTAGTTTTCCTGAAATTTGCGTTCTATGGATTTCACAATACTACTGAGTTAACAGTACAATGATTAGTTGCAAACCTACGAGAGTAGTGTTGGATAATCGTTAACAGTCGAGGATGAATTTGACATTAGCAGATATATTTTGCTTTTATCGTTAATCTCGCGAAACAGATTACGCACGGCGCCAGTGGTGTGCTGGCAAGCGTGTCACTATTTTAAACAAAAAATAGTAAACAAAAACAAACAGCGTCATTTCAGTATTTGTCTATCTCAAGTAAATAGTTTTTCAGGCCACTTTGGGCTGATATTTCACGTTCTAGTTCGTTTAGGAAACATAAAGAATATTGATTTATATTTCTTACAAAATATCGGAAATTTGAGAAATACAACAAATATTAAATATATAAATCATTACTTATCGGTACAGGTAATGTTACAGATATATAAAATATATTTTTACGGTACAACTGTTTACAACCCACTGTACGTCGAATGTTTTAATTCTCGTAAATTGATCCCATTTACTTACTGTACATTCATACGAATTCTTTTACAGTTCAAATTACAAAAATATCGAAAATAAGCGCAACCGGAAGCGTACATTCTGTTTTGGCACAAATTGAAAATAATCACGGGGACTCCAGGGGTGAGTTAATTTTTTTTCTGATTAAGCCGGGTTTGTATTGTGAATTGCATTATTAAGCGTTAATCCAGTCGGTTCCATTAAACTGCCCTGTAGCACAGATGCGGTACAATAATTTTTAGGAATTATCCATCAAATTCTAACTCGCCACTATTGATACATACGATTTTTTTGTAATAATACAGTTCAATAGTGGATTTAAAAAACAACGGTAACTCGGTACCTGCTAAGGATAGGATTAGTAACGTGGTATACATATGCAGCCAAATGTCTTCATATCCGGCATATATAACACTTAAATGGTTGTATATGTATTTTGACCTGGCTTTATATGCATATGGCACTGGCTGTAAATGCATATTTAGTTGGCGGTATATCCATATTTTTAACTATATGTATGTTGAGTTACCAACCCCACTCCATGATATGGTGGCTAAAATAACTCGGACTCACACCCGCAATACGAAGTGCAACTCAAATCAATCACCACACGTGTCGAAAATAGGTCATAACAAATACAAATATGACAAAAATAAATTGTGTAGCAGCAGTCGCGACAGACCGAACTCGCGTGCTCTTCAAGACCGACGAATGGAAGAAATACAACGAATAGACAAATGCCTGTGCAACCGCAGAAAACTTCATTATTGTCGTGATTATTGGGTATGAAGTACTAGAAAATTCCAGAGCAATTTGTAGAAATATGGTCGAAAACCGAAAGAATCACCGAAACTTGTTTCAAATAAAAGGAACGCCATAAGTTTATTTTCTTCAATTTTGCACGTCACACAGAACATTGTATATGGAAAAGGTCACTCCATTGTGTGAAGGAAATATATATAAATATAGGCTGCTGTCGTATCGCTAATTCGCGGGAATTGTAATTGTTGGTATTTATTCCCAAGTAGTACTCCATACAATGCAAACTAAAGGATTTTTCAATTTAGCAAATCAAATTAGGAAAATTGTCAAGATTAGCGATGACTATAATACGCGGCTTATGAGACCGTTATGAATGACATCAAACACTACTTGTGGAGATGGTTCATCAAGTTCAGAAAGCTCGTTATCAAGGTCAGAAATGAGTGCATGAGCAACGAACGTATCGTGGGCGCGATGGCTAGTAATTAGTACTTTGTACCAAGCTGTTGTTGGCGTCACGACTTGAAAATCACGGGATTATGCCCCCTTCCCAGCGCCACGCTCATGGTGTAATAAAATGAGTTGGCAATATAAACCCAGGTCCAAAGATTTCTGTCTCTCGAAATAGTAGATTCTTGTCTATATACTCATTCGTAGTGAAAGTGTGAAAACGCCTCAAAAATATATTATAGCCAGTACATGATTTTGTTTCGTGATTTGGAAATATTTTCTTTAAAATCACTCGTAATTTGCATATTAAAAACGATATAAATCCGTACTATTATATCATATTATTAGTAAAATCTGAATCTGAAAATTAATAAAAAAATCATTACAGTAGAAAATTCCCAATTTGCCTTACAGTATTCAGACAAAAATAGATACAAACATTTTTTCGTGAAAGTGACTTTTAAGGGTTTTGCTAATATTATCTGATAAAGCCACATGTAGTTGAATTATGACTACTCAAACTGGTACACATAAGCATGATTGTCTGGACATAAATACCATGTGTAATTATATTTCTAAACGAGTTGTTACATGTATTGGCGTCACAATGATTTGTTTGCGATTCCATTACAAACGATACACATTGGAATTCAGTGTTGGTCTGCAGCTACAAAAGAGACTTTATTTTGTGAAGCTAACACAAAAGGTGTATTGCTTATGTAATTCAATTGAGATGAATCAATAGTAAATTTATCATTGTCAACTTAACGTTTCATTGCCTCTATGATATTTGATTTTCAACAATATCACGCACTTGCAAATTGTTTAATCAGTCTCTTCTAAAAGAGAATGTCAACTCCTTTTGTAAAATCACCGATACACTTCAATTGTAATAAGTAACGGAGAGTATATCATATACAATATATGCCATAAATTTCTAAGTGAAATCGATCGGAATTTTTAAGATTATTCACAATCGCATATTTAACTGAAACTTTTTTACTCGCATATCGCTAAGTAACTTGAATGAGTAATATACAATTTTCGAAAAATATTCTATGAATTTTTCAACGAAGGATAACTTATATATTAGATATCATATTTAAGGTGTTATCCGAATGGTAAAGAAAACGCAGCTTATGCTACAGAAGAAAGTGACTACGCGGCGTCTGAAACCTACACCGGCTCAGGTTTGTATCAAATTACACCACATGATTAAATTTACTGTATCAAGAATGTTTCTCCTTTTAATTAAAATTTCCGATTCTTTATCGCTGTATTGTGTGCATAAGTAACCCAAAACGAAGTCATTGTGAAAAATCGAGTGCCTATTTTAATAAAAAATTCGCAAAGTTAACGCAATTTTGATTTGATGATGATGTCTTTTTCATGAAATAAGTTTTACTATATTAGCTGTTCATAGACGTATAGATTAGACCCTATAAGTGCCCTGGACGTTTTAAAAATACATCGCATGTGCGAGACTATCACTGCGAAATTGCCGAGACGTGACGCAGTTTCTGAATAATTTTAACAGTGTAAATTTGAACAACAAAACGTCATAAACCGCTAGAACCGTATGTTCATCCAATGCTGAAGCCCGAGGCAGTCAACCTTTTCGAGCTGGTATACTCAGTTTCGCTAACAGCAGTAGTCATAACACGTTATGGATTGGTATAGTTCAGATATTTATTCTCCTGCGGCCATTGTGCTGTAATAATAGTTGGCGCTTTGTCAATTTGGAAATTTTTAGACGCTCATCGAGATGGAGCCGAAAATCCAGCGTATACAGGCGAAGAGGATTGTACAAGAGGTTCTGAAATCAACACCAATTATTCTGGCGATAAAATCGTGCAACAGCAACCAAAGCTACTTTCCGATGTACGGTTTGATCGACAAATAAGCGATGTATCGGATTTTAATTTCAACACAAATGAAAAGGGACTCACTGAAATGGTTCTTGAAGAAATTGAGAAATCGTTTTCCCATGATCAAGGTCAAAATATACAAGAACAACAAGATGTTTCACAACAAGATCAGTCAACTTCAAATGAATATGACGACGAAATATCCTCTCCAGAGCGCAGAGCTACACCAGCAAGCGACAACGCAAGTACGCTTTTATTTGAATTAAATTGTAATCCGAATTGATTAGCCATATGATATTAATGTGCGAAAAATAGGTTTGTGCCATATATAGCTCAAATGGCAAATCCTATACGTTAGAAGCGTTTTGGAGTGACTCAAACCATGATTTCCGTGTAAACGACTATAACCTAGAATAGTATGTTAATTGCAGCGCCCATGGAGTGTCTTACCTAATAATCGATCACTTCCTGAGGGTTCGTTTATGGCTTATACACGGCCATACAAACCATATACGAAATATTTCATCAATGATGGTACAGTACTTATCTAGTCGTTGAGATACTGTACATATGTTTTCATGTGATACTCCTCTTGAAACTCGACTACTACGTAGGATCACATGTTATAATCGCTTCTTGTGTGACTAGAATGGACCAACCCTTGTTCATTTCAATAATGCAAAAATTATTGGTGTTAGTTACAATATGAGTTATTATTTCATACCATGCAAACGATAGATTTTGTATGCTTACTCTACGTAAGGTTCCGCAAATAAAATGAAAAAAGCGCGGGTAAAAGAGGCGCTAACTCAAACACTACTGCGCTATGATATATAGTTGAATTTTTTTTGCGACATAGATTCAAGTAAATATCGATTCAAAGAAATACTTGAACCAGATACTATTGCAACAAAAACGTCAGCGGCACATAGAAAGTTCCACAAAGCCGAAGTTTTTTGAAAAACCTACTTTTAGAATAGAATGTTTCTTAGTATACGGGAACCTCGATATATAGTTAAAATGTAGTACATACATATTATATTTATCATCGTTTTTCACAGCATGGAGAAGCAAATTAATTGACGATTTAAACGATGATATTGAATTCGAGGATATTTCTTCGGACGAAGAAGATACAGATGCTACTACACGGGAAAGAGTGGAAATTAGGGATTCATCTTCAAGTTACGACGAAAGTCCTAAACTACCTTCATTCACAGTAGACATTCCAACGAAATTGGCTCCTCGCAAAACTATTATATGCGAAGGACAGCCTGTTGTCGTCGATTTGGGATCTTACGAAATAAAAGCTGGGTTTGCTGGGGAATATCTTCCTGCATTCGAATACAGAACTGTTATTGGAAACTGGGGTTCACACTTAGGCGAAGGTTTCCAAAATAAACTTGATGACACTTTCTTTGGAGACGAAGCTATGTCGAAACATACGATGATAACAAGACGGTATCCTATACAAGGTATGTACCACAATATATACGATAGACACAAACATCTATATTTGAAATTCAATTATTTACCTACAAATCATGTTCGTCCGTTTTAACTAATATAGAATTTTATGTGAGACATTCAAGAAGTCACCCAAAGATCATGTCTTATCAAAATATGTTCAGAAGCCAGCTGAATTGAAAAGTACTAGTGGTTGATTGGACAAGCCTTTAACATGGGATTTGGTTTTAATGTGTTCGTTCAATCAGACCCGATTCGAGCTTGCAAACAAACATATTTTTCTATGCCTTAACAAATTGTTGGTTACTTCCTACATCAATGATTCAAAAATAGAATTAGTTTTACAGTTTTTAATGATCTGATCAAGACTTTTTTGAGATCTCATCGATTTATTCGATATTGGATGCAAATAGCGCATGCATATTGCTATAATATAAATCATTTGGGCACTCTATACCTGTTTCATAGTTTCCATCAACACGGTCGCCAATATATCTTACGGCAAACATATGGGAAACAAAATTAACACCCATCAGTTAGTGTTTATTTAATTCAATATTCACAGAGCAATCTTTGCTAAATATGCTCCATGATATAATCCACAATCACATTTTATTTCTGTTTAAGCTACCAATTAATATTATGTGGCATGTGAAATGACTCGTAGAAACCGAGATTATGATTGATGGATCTCCAACCATTGAATCATTTCATATTTCTATATTTATTTCACATGGTTTGTTTTGAAACAACATTCGGACAAATACTGGCAACACTCTCTAAACAACACTCCCACGCGGACCATTACTCTATAACAGATTCAATGACCAAAATGAATTGATTGTCCCTATTTGATTTACAGATCATTGAGTACTGGTCGTTTCGCGAGGTCCATTAAATAATAAATACTAGGGCCGTTCGGATACTCAGTTCAAGCTATTTACGAATTAACATGTCCTAAACCTAATAAACTACAAATCAATTGTTTAAAAGTGTGGACGCTCAAAGCTCAATGGACAGTTTCTACTGCCTACCTGCGGGGGAGACTATTCCTAGCCCTTTCCGTTTGTGCGTTTTTTAGGTGTAATTGCAGGAATATATTATATGAAATCAGTGATGAGCTGGAAAAATCGTAACAACCGGAACGCACCAAATTCGTGAAAATGTAATATATATTTACAACACGACGTTACCAGTAATTTTGTCTGTCGTAAGATAGAGCCGAAGAATTACAATGAAATATGAAAAAAATTATCTGAAATATGACTGTTTATAATTGAAAGAATATTCATATAATTCAATGCAAATGTTATTATTAGAAAGGTATTGGATGGATTTTCACGGGGGTCAAAGGTTGGCGAAACATCCATTACACGTTACTGCTGTGCGCTAATTATTTGCCAGCTGTAATGTAAAAAGAATTATGATGCAACAAAGCATCAATTAATATCTAAGTTTCCCGCAGGAACTAGACTTTTCGAGCCATGATTTTATTTTAACAACAGGAACGCAAACGCAATAAAATGCCCAACAACCGGAACGCCGTTCCGGTGCGTTCCGGCTACAGCTCACCACTGTATGAAATGATGTGACATTCTGGAGGTTTTCCATTCAATTTATTCAGCCATCGGTTAACTAATTGTATATTGCTGTAATCTCGTGATTATCATGATGATAATCATATTTTATTCTGGAAGGATGGCGCAAATCAGAATATTTGCTTTATATACAATATATAATATATACTGTACAGTGTATATGGTAAATTATACTGTAACGTTTTATCTGAGCTTTAGATTGTTTTGAATATTTGGAACTTGGCGAACTTGGCAAGCCATCATTTTTTTGTGGTAACCACGGCAAAGAAATGAAGACCACTCCTAAATTTCCCAAAAGTGACTTCTAAGACTCTTCGCTAATAAAACGCAATTTATATAATTAAGGTGGCGAAGTCACTGACTGGAAAGATCTTGAAAAAATGTTGGATTATACGTTTTCCAAATTACTGGAAATCGACGCAAAAGATCATCCAGTGTTAATCACAGAACCGTCAACAATAAACAAAAGACAAAGAGAGAGAAAACTTGAGGTTTGTTCAAGAATTCAAACAAATTTGTTTCTCTTATTTAACTACAACTATCTTTGTTAGTAATCAAGACTTCTTTATTTCTAACTTACAATGACTGTGAATTCCCTCTCTGAGATTCAGAGGATTCGCACGTGTTCACGCGACCCGATTTTTGGAATACCACGCTCATCAACGAACCCGTTCTTGTTTTTTGTTTGGAACGTTAGGCGACCGCGGTGAATGGTTAACGTTCACCGCAGCTGACGACTAGCATTATGTTCGGGGTTTTCGAAAGTTATGTATGTGAATTTATGTAAAACGCGTCATGATAATTCAACTTTCGAAGTGGCGAACACACAAGTCCTAAAACCAGAAACCAGTTGTTAGTGAATTAGATAATAGTTTTGAATCTCACCACTGATGAATTAATTCATTATTCAATATAATGTTTATTTGGATAAGCACTTATGCAACTTATAAGCTAGAATATGCAATTGCAACAACCCGTATTGTACAGTCAAAATCGCGAACTTCTACAATTAAACGCGTCATAAACAAGGTGTCAAAAATATTCCTACTTTTACAATGAAATATTGTTTGGCTCGATATAATAGACATTCATTATATATAATATCGTTATGGGTCTTGCATTGGCTTTTATTAATTGATAGTTGTTATGATTTTTACCATTTTAGCGAAACAAATACACTCGCTGGTGTCAATGTAAATGTTTGTTACTGTTGTGGAAATAAAACGCCTTTTTGATAAAGTCGATTCGCAGCTTAAATATCTGTGAACCGTGAAACCTCTATGCAATGCCATTATTCGTTATCAGTTCCATTTGGGTGGCGATAAGCCTGAGGGTTCAATGCGTGTTCAAGAAACTTACTTGTTATACGACACTTCGACAACGAGTGCAAAAGAATCCATTTAGTAAATGCCCTTGTCGGGTTTACAGCGATCCACTGTGCAATTTATGCCAGACATTGGAGAGGTCGATAGGAAATTTCCACCCCGTTCCAACTATTTTGTATAACCACATCCTCCTTCATGAATGTCTATTATTGGTATTTAGAATAGCGACAGTCTCAACACTGGCGGGTTGAGTTATCAGCATCGCACGGAAAAAAACTATTATGGATTTTTTTTAAATTATTTTCGTAGTTGAAGAAATATTAATTCGAATACATCAGATGCATTTCTTTTGGCCAGAAAGTTGTATCAAACGTATGTTCGATAGAGTGTTGAAATCATACATATGTTTCAGATTATAATGGAATCGCTACATTGCCGGATGGTTCAATTCAAACAACAAGCAGTATTAAGTTCATTGTCTGCTGGAAAAGATATTTCTCTGGTTGTCAGTAGTGGACATGGATGTACTGAAGTAGTGCCAGTGTATTACGGATACGCTTTAAATCATGCAGTACAAAGAGTAAGAATTTTTTACATTTAAAATTTTCAAGGGGTTGTATAGAGAAACAGTCACCCTGGACAAAGGTATTTATGGAATTTGAAGTGACCGCTATCTTGGATGAAAAAATCTGAGATTTAAAGCCTACGATATCAACTTGGCGTGAATAAACAACTTGATTGATGTGTTTCGTCACTTACCAACATTTTTAAAGTTAATCCGAACAACGCCAACCCAAATAGACATCCCATTTCACCCGATATACCAAGTTTACCTGCTTAGTATAGAGTTACAGACATATTCAAATATGCGTAATGCAACTGCAAAACATTTTATATTACTGTAATAATGTAATAATCAAGAAACAACAAAACAAACATACTCTCCATGCCCGCTAATAACGGAAATCTCGGTGTTAAAAACATACGATTATCTGACCACATCCACCATAATTATCACATCACTTAGCGTTGCGTCTGAGACTCAGCTCTCGAACCACACAGGCATGTCTGTGTGTTACCGATGTAATAAACATCTTAAATGTTGTTTAAATGCAATCCCGGGTTCAGCTTTTTTGATATATATGACTAAAATTCAGACTTTATCAGGACACAGTCCTTGAATTAGATATGATATTTGATATACGGATTGGATTTATATCATATTACATACCCCAGGAATCACGAGCCACATTTTTTTCTTATTATGAAATTGAAAGAAAATGCGCATTTCGAAATAGTGGCTTTTTATGAAAGGGCAGATGAACTGAAAGATATTTATTTTTAGCGATATATGTGGGTTTTGTAAGTCGTTATGTATGAAGTATTTTGGAAAATGAATATTGAACAAACAAGTCTGTACTATATCAGTAAATTCATTCGCATTTCGATATAACTGTACTGACTAATACAAAGAGGGATTACCTCGTAAAATTAAGGGCGCTCCAGAAGTATGTGTACCAATATGGAGGTAAATATTTTTGTTCGTATGCTTTGCATCAAGTTGTGTAAACTGACTGAAACCCACCGGCAGGGGGCATGTTCTCTTGGCTAAGACCTCGAACTCGTATATAATAGAACTAAAATAAGAAATATCGGAATAAATTATGGCCTAACCCTACCTGGCACACATACTATGGGAGCACCAAATTAAGCATGAGTACACGCACCATTATCAAGATTTATAATGAACAATATTTGTTTCAGATGAATGTCGGTGGAAAACATGTTACTGAATATTTATCGAGATTATTATTAGAAGAACGGGGAGCAAATTTTACATCTGCTGCTGATCAACTCATTTTAGAATCAATCAAGCACAGATATGCCCAAGTGTTGCCTGGTAAGATTTGAAAATGTTTATGACTGACCGCACAATGTGTGGAAATGAATTCCGAAATAATGAAGCCATTTAAAGGCATTGATATCAGGCAACGTTGATATTGGGTGTTAAGCGCTCAAAGCTACGCATTAGAAACCTTTGTTTGCAACAACCAGGGAAACAACCGAATAGAGAACACTTCGACCCATTTGGGGTACGTATTCACTAATTTCCAAGCAGTGATATTGGACTAAAAACAATAAACCAGGTTGGGCGTGTCCAACATTGGTAGGGTTCTACACAGTTATTGTGGATCGCAATACCTGATCCGAGTCTAAAATGTTTTCTGATTCGAATGAAGCCTATCGCTATTTCAAGTACAGGACCTAACGAATTGTGTTTTACATGGATTTTTCAAATGCATTCCCCAGTAGTACTGCAGTCTTTAAAGTGATGTTGAAAACAAAATCAACCAATAAATCAACCAATACTAACCAAGTTTAAATGCAAATGTTTCATTTGACACAAAAACAAGCATTATTCACAGAATACGGTTGGTATTCTCAAGTACAGAACAGGAGATCACGTTACTCGTGATCACGTGAGTCCCCTTACACTTATGCGTTGGTAATAGAAATTCCTTTTCACTGTTGTCATCTGTGTGATGACTCACAACAGCCACGTCATCGTCAAAAATATCATAATAAATTATGAGGGAATGTCAATGACGTTCATCGTTTGTTAATCATCCAGTTAATAACAAAGTGGGTAGATTTTCACTTCAAAGTCAGTTTGAAAAACAAAAAAGTGCGTAAGGTACTTAAACCTAGTCTTTCAAAATATCACAAAACCAAACTTTGGATATTTCGTGACTTTTCTGAACCACAGTTTTGTCCTATAAGGTAACATTAAATTCATTGCATTTTACGGTCCATGCTGAATCACGCCCATGCACTTGACCGTGGCCATGATAATATTTATCAAGTAGTATACTATTAAAATAAAGGGACGATTAGACGAAAAACCCTGGTGTCCTATCGTTGCCTAATAATAAGAGATATGTTCTGCTTTAAATGGGTTTTGCACAACGTCTATATCTATGCCGTTAATGTTATACATACAATTTTAGTTACCGGTATCTCAATGGTTTTTGCGACCTTCGCTATTGCAAGTAGGAGCTCGAACCTGGCCTTGTACAAATAGGTTTTAAAATATTCATATCCCGCAAACACTCGTTATCTGGGTAAATATCATTATCTGGGTAAAAATTTCACATAAATGTTGACTTGTTTGTTAGAAATACGTTCACCCTGTCTACGAAATCCATTGTTTCAAGTTTTTCTGTTTTTAGTTGGAAGCAAATGTAATGGCAACCCGAATATACAATTCAAAATCTCTTGCTCTAACATGAACATGGCAATATACTTCTTCTCATACAGATGAATCTTTTGAATCAAAACATTGGACCAAGCAAGTATCATACGAACTTCCTGATGGAGAAATTTTACAACTTGGCAGAGAACTACACAGATGTACAGATCCCTTATTTCAACCAGGGTTAATCGGACAAGACGGCGATGGCGGAGTTGATACGCTAATCAGAGAATCGCTGAAAAGGTAAGTTAATATCCAATTTTTCAAGCTTCCTTATCGAATAAGGCTGTTTACATGTTGATTGTGAATTGCTAGAATTAAATTTTCAGTTTTTTCAGACGTGTTAAAATATACCAATGCTTTTCGGAATTCCTAAACTCTTATAAGGTCATGATATGCCTGATATCGTGTTGGGGGATGAATCATGTCTATCACGCTCTACCTATTTCAAATGACCTTATAAATAAACGGCAAGTAGTTTCAAACCAATTAAAATAATTTAAGAATACATAAATGACACACAAGATACGGTATTGTTTTGAAGAAAAGGTACAAAATATGGTATTTGTGATAAATGAGTGATTCAACTTATTCTCGGTATAGATTGAGATTAAGTGCGAGCTGTTTATTTCATATGTTTAAAAATGGTTCAATTCTGTTTGTTCTTAGTGTCGATTCAGACATTCACCAACAAATGAAGTCAACAGTTTTACTTTCTGGTGGAAACAGTTGTCTTCGTGGATTTAAAGAACACTTACATGAAAAACTTCTACTTGACGACGGGTCAAAAAGTTCAAAAACGAATTGGAAAATTGATTCTTGTGAAAATTTAAAAACTTGCGCTTGGTTGGGAGGTTCATTATACGCTGATAATGATTCCTTCCGGCAATCTGCCGTAACGGACGATGCATATTTTGAGTATGGGCCTTCAATAATACATAGAATGTGTCTCTAGTTATATTTTAGATTTGTGGCCAGGCACGAAAACATAATTATAATACATTTATTACATGAAATTTTGGGTGCTAATACGAATCAGATTAACTAACCGATGTACAATTGATTTGCTTTATCAGTTTGCTTAGACTGAAAATATACCAGTTAAGTAAGGGAGAAAATTCATGCAATGTTATGCGTGGAGCAATCGACGAAAAAGATTCCTGAGTACGCTCTTGTTTGCGAGACTGAAACCCGTCTGAATCAGTACTGTAATTTATTCACGTTTTGATGCATTCCCAAAGTTATATATCACTCAATATGAAAAATCATGTGAAATGATGTTATGTAAAGAAAATTCATACTCAGGCCTATGGCTGACGGCCAACTGACCCCAGAAGACGCATCTCAAATGCAATTTCAGACCAAGGTGAACTGCCCAGAAATCGAAGTCCTTACCTTAATCGTATCTTCATTATTAATTTTGCTTGAATAATGCATTTATTAATATAAATCGATTGTTTTTGCCAGCATCTTGAAGACTGTTTGGTGACTTTTCAGCTAGCAAGCATTTGGAAAAAATAGATTGAGTAATTTTTGTTCGAGCAAGCCTTCTGTCGTCGCTTGTTATGGTCTGAGCCAAAAAATTGTTGCGATTGCCATCAAATAATCGTTATTATTATGGAAAACATTTTTGGACACTTTAGTGTTCCTTTTTTTTTATAAATTCCGTGTACTTATATCCAAAATATCTTTTAAATGAAGTAAAAAACACGGGATGTGCATTACAATCTTCTGATGTCTAAATTTAACGAGCTTATGCTTATACGTTTATTCAATGGGTCGAAACGAAATGATACTCAAGAAAATCATTTTGAAATAATTTTCAATACTTATTCCAATATGTTGTTGGGGAGATACTCCATAGCCTTGTATTTTTAGATGACTCAATTTACTTTTTCTGGCTGAGCAATATTGTCGTGTGTCTGGTACACACTATAACTAACTAACTCATAACCCCATTTTCGTTTTTTTTTTATGTATTTTGTGCCAAACATACTTTCGCTTAAAATTTGAAAACAGAATGCATTCTTTCATTATTCTTGAAGCGGTTACACAAAATATAATCTTATGGAAAATCACACCAATACCATAAACTCTGAATAAAATTAACATTAATTAATAATTTTTAAATTTTGCATCATAATTATTTTGCAAAATCCAGCATTAGACTACATTATATTCAAATGTCATTGTTTCCAGATCTAATTCGAGTGTCACTGCCTTAGTCATATATCTATGTTATATTTGGTGCAACAGAATTGCGTATATCTTTTTTGTTTCCTATTGCATATTCCAGTATTTGAAATATTTTTATGCAATTAAAATTTGTACATGGAATGCTATCTCATATCGCGTAATTAATTTTAGAATTATTGCATATTCACTCCAAGTCATGTTAGTAAATGTTTTATACAAATTATTCATCGACTGCCCACTCGATCACAAAACACTGACAGTAGTGTTTATTGCATTGTTTTAGAATGACTGTCAAACTGCAACAAAACAGTCTATAGTGAGCTAATCTATATGCCTGCATGCGAGTGTAATTTCCCTTGAAATCCTGTACATTTATGATATGCCGAACAGTGTATGTTATTTTACGTGCTATCGTTTCATTTACATTTTTTATTTCTGATTTAGGTTTCAAATTTTGTATATTCATGTTTTTATTTCTTTTAAGTTTGCTGAGCCCTATGATTTGTTGACGTTACACATCCAGTTCCAAAATCGCGAAAAAATATTTTTGGCAAAATACCACGTACTTGGTTCAAACGTAAACATTGCTGTTAGTATCAGTAATAGGCAACAAAAAATTGAGGGACTAAAACTTCAATTCCCATGAATTTTGATCACTATATTGAGCTGCATTTAGGTTTATCGTCCAACTGTATTAAATTTTTGTCTGAATTCTTACATCCAATGATGAAAAAAACTCAATTTTATCACGATTAAATCAAGTCTTTAAACTTGTTTTGTTTGCTTCGAAAAACTAAAGATTCAAGGTCAGTACAAAAATTGTCATATTAGATCGCACCTTGTTGGATTTGCGTGCTAGCAAATGGAAGTATTTTGGTTTCAATTTGATGCAGGATGACGTAGATTTAGAAGAATAGAATCATAAATAAACGTTGACCAACATAAATGAGTACATATTTCTATATTTAAGTTCAGTACAATTGACGAAAGACAAAGAAAAATCGCAAGAGAAAATGAGCACTGAGTTATTGGTATCAGGCCTAAATTTTGAAAGAACAACTGAAATCTAACAAAAGCATGGTAACGCGCTAATGTTAACAAATATTGAAATATCTGGGTGAAAAAATTGAGCGACTGCTAAACTTCAAATTGTTAACGGTCACCTTTGATATATATTTGCTAATAAGCCAAGGTTACGGAAATAAATAAGAGAGTCAATACTCAGTGAAACATACATTATCACTATTTAAAATATAGACAATAACCTGTTTAATGGGAATTGAATGGTTTTCAAATTCAAATTTACCTACATTTACCTTGTTCACTATTCGCGGTATCAACTGTATGAGAAGCGCACGCAAAATCCCAATTTACACTTTCAAGTACAGTTCTTTTAGGACACGAATGCAATAACAGCGACAACACACCACAATTTGAATTTAACTCGCAGCAAGTGCGGATGACTTTTTAGAATTATACCTTCACGGCAGCTGATATGATCAATTACATTCATTAGCACTAGACACCCGAAAACCCTCAATTCATAGCAGCCGATTTCAGCGACAAAACATCTAATTGAACGCTTGGAAAAAACGCGCAAAAATAGAATATTATTGCGTGGTAATTATGCACGAATCCCTGCATGCTATTTGATATATTAAGCGAAACGGTGTAAAATTAGAACCGAGATTTTCAATTCAATTTACAAGCAGATCATGTCAATTGATTCACCAGAAATTAAAAATTCGTTTTTATTCTTAGAATAAAAACTCTTAGGCGTTAGAACACTTTCCCATATGGTGGATTCTTTATCACCGCGCTAGATTATCCTTTCATTCCCGCAATTTTATTAATAACAACAAAGAGCACAAAAAATACGATGAAGATTTTATTGATTCCATAAAATATTTATCGTCTACGCCTTTTTCCTTTTCCCTTTGATTTTTTCTGGCCAACTCGTCCCCTCTTTCCCAGTTTCAATTTCTTTCCTGTGATCTTCACGCGTCCTTTATATTTTGATAAAACGCGTTTCTGCACGAGCCAGTTGATGACGTGTTTGATGACGAAATCATTCCTCTTCTTGTATCTATGTTCGATGTATTTTGCAATCGCCTGTGGAGTGCAACCCTTCGGTTCCTTCAGTGCCTTGATAGCTTTTACTATCATATCTCTGTACTTAGGTGTGTTCCTTCTCTTACGCTTCTTGGCTGCCCGTTTCTTGGCTTTACGCGCCCCTGATGGCATGGGTGCGTCTAATTCCATATTCAACTTAATTTTAGAAACTAGGAACCAGACAACTATTCTATCAAAAATTGACCATTAAGCAGCCGCGCCCAAAATTTCCGTATTTATAAATGTATTTCAGACCTAAACGAAGCTATATTAAAATATTGTGACGTCACAAAGCCGTAAAATTGGCAACAAATTACAAAAAATAAAAAGGATCAAAAAACGAGTTTTTTCTAGGTCTTGTTGCAGAATATGCATTCAAATGGTTTCGTTTGATTTTTGTCGTCTACCCACTGCTTCAGAATATAAAAATAAAGTGTTTCAAATGGAATTTCCATATATATATATAAACATTTACCACCTTGAAACAGATGTAACTAGTTTAGCCATAAATATGTTTGTTTCGTTATATCCATTCTCAAGAAATAAAGTATTATTGTGACGTCACAAAGTGATTTTAATGTGGAGGATCCCAAACTTTTCAAACTCGCGATGTGTGGGCATATAAGAAATATTTTGCTCAGAATATGGATTAATATTCTGCGACACGCTCGACATTAGTTTGCGACGTACAGCTTGGGAACGACTGAATTAATTCATTAGTAGGGCTAGGCGTTTCCGAATACTTGAGGATTTCAGAATCGAATATTTTTTCGAATTGAATCGAATCTCGAATACTCTGGAAATATATAATTGTATGTAACTTTCTTATTGTATTGAGTCCTCCAGACACATAAATTACTGAAAACATAGAATACATCACTCAGACATATTGCTGAGCGTTGACACACATATAAAACATGTTTTCAGCAATAACTGACTACAGAAAAGAGTCATATGTCAGAATTGCGTTGAAAAAATATGGCTTGAGTTGAAAAATTTACCTCGACCATTGGCAAAAAGAAAATAAACAAGATGGCGGCGATTCGAAATTTTGCTCTGAACTGATTCGAATAATTTACTATTCGATTCGAAATGCCTAATCCTATTCATTAGTCACAAACTTTTCACTTTTTATTGGATATTCTATAAATATTACATTCCATATATAAATTTTAACAAATTTGTAAATCTAGATTAATATCAACAAATTGCAATAACTGATGTTAGTTTCCAACTAATGAGGAAGAAAAAGCAACAAGTTTGTTAAATACGAACACTATTCGTTAGACCTCAATTCAGATGCGGAATGAAAGAGGTGTATCTTAAGAGGACATTGGTTGACTTCTCTAGATAGAACTTATTCTGCTGAAAAATTTTCGTGTTTGAAGAAATTTGGTTGTATTAGAGTCAATATCTGTCAACTGAAACCGGTAGCTTACGATTATGGTGTTTGTCAAAAGGTAGTTAGTTTCACGCAACCTCAACTCTTTGTCGATTGTGTGTTGTCAATTTGTTTAACTGGTATTAATGTTGATGGTTGCTGTGACTGATGTGATGTTTGCTGTAAACATTTCAATACAAAAGTGCTTGAGTTTCAAACCGAAAACTCCTACTGCTAAGGATCAGGCCGGTTACCAATAAAACGATCTTGTACAGTCGGAACTTGTTCTTTATATTTGTGCTTGCATTCGCGTATAGCTGCTTGCCCATCTCTGGTTACAAAATAGAATAGTTCCTTATATGTCAATTGCTTCAGATAAATAACCTCTCCTTTGTGTTATACCAACTAATATGACAATACCTGCCTGCATTGATTTCGCAACGCTACGTGATAATCTAGTCAAAACAGATACGTCAATAAACAAAATATTTTAATTCATTTCGAACAAGAAGTAAGAAAAAGAAATTATGTGTAAATGTATATTGAAAGAAAATCACACATTTCTAAAACTATTTCTACCACTCAATTGGCATCTCATCTTTCTACGACCTTTCTTTGTCCACCACTTGGTGGTTAAGAGAGCTTTGAAAGTTCTTTGAAAATTTTCGTTGCAGTATCCGTAGCAAAAAGGATTAACAGTGCTATTCAAATAACAGAGCCAGTAACTCAAAATCCACATGACGTCAGTAATTACGCATTTTTTACCACAGAGTGCGCTCAAGACCACGATGACATTGTACGGGAGCCATAGTGTGATGAAGCAAATAAGAATGCTTTTGAGTAAAGTTGTGGCGCGCTTTTCACGGTTAAGTCTACTCGCGTTATTTCTGTGTATTAGGGAAAGATTTGAAGAGTGTTTTTTATAGGGCGATCGTCTTTTGTGCTTTGTTGTTTCTCTGGTGGATGGAATTACGGGACTAGCTATTTCTCGATTCTTTTCGTCGTTCTTGAAACTTTCTTCTTCCGATCTTGTAACAGAATGCGGAGTCTCGCTAATTTCAGCGTTCGACGTACTTTTGGTGTCTTCTTTTTTCAGCAAATGCGTCATCGAATTTTTGTCGTAAGCAGAATCTCTATTAGAAGATTTCGTTTCATGCTTTTGGTTGTATTTCAAGCTGGCATCACGTAATAATGCAGCCATGTCTTTGCTACGAGTTTGTGCATTTGCTTGCTGTGATTTGTCATTGTTTTCGTCCACTGCTTGTCCAATTTGCTCAACATGTTCTCCAGTTTTATCGGTGCCCAGTTTGCTTTTTTTACCTGACCATTGTGACGTGTATCGACTTTCCATTGCAGACGTAGCTCGACTTATCATGGAAGAGACACCCCTGGAAATTGAAAGATGTTGTAACATATAACATATACATAAACATTAAAATATCCAGATACACAATTTAGCCAGCTTCAAAAAATACAGTTGATGGGGGGCTTTGGGGGCGCAGTCCCTGAACAGGAGGCTTACACATAAGCAAACGAATTGGAGTATGTTCAAAGCAACTGCACTTAATTTCTGCACTAAAAACAAATTACTCGGCTCAAAAATTCGATTTGTGTGAGGTTTTTTTTATGCACAACATTGTGGATTTTTCTGTCCCATTAGACGATGTTGACTGATCAATATTTGATTATTCTATTCAGCTCAAGAGTCTTGCTGCACACGAACACAAATATATTTCTGCAACATTTCGTCGAATCTACAAACATCACAAAAAAGACTTCAACAATTTGAAGAAAATTACACTGAAAGAAACCAGACTACCACACCACAAGCGGGGTCTGAAGCACTTCGTAGCAACAGGGACATCCCTCAAAGATCTCCAATTTACCTATCACAACGTTACAGAAATATATTTGTGCTCGTGTGTGCAGCAAGACTCTTGAATTGAATAGTATAGCCATTTACACTCTTGCTACAGCATCCTTGCGTAATACGCATACGGAATCACCTGCGCAAAGGCATATAGAGCAAGGAAAGGTAGTTAAGTTTCAGGCAACCTCAACTGTTAGTTAACTTTAAATTACTAGAATTAAATATAAAAAGACAGAATAATTGAGTTATATTTCATTCGTACTGAAATTTCCGAAACATAAACAAAAACTAACAAATTGCACGGGAAAACGAGGTCATGTTTACAACCATGCCAGAAAATCTTGCATTGCATATTGTTTATTAGTTACAATCGAATACTCAATTGCTAGTTGCGAACGATCTTTCTCTAAGTTGAAACAAATAAAAAAACATATTTGAGGTATTCGATGTCAAATTAGTGCCTGTCCATTTATCTTCGATTAGCATCGAAAAGAAATATCTGACGAGCGAGGTGGAAGAAGCTGTCGTTCACACATTTGTTAACAGCTAAGTGGCGATTTGACATAGAAATAAATGACTTACTTTTTGTTAATACATGAGTTTGTTAATACATTAGTTCAATCGTATACGTGTTGTTTAGTTTAATGATTAATACAAACATTTCACTCTTACTTGCCCTTTAATTTATTTATTTATATGTATAACGACATCTATATTCTGTTTAACCCTCGAAATATTTTTTAAGTTAGAGATAAGAGGCAGCTCTATCAGAAACTCGCCCCGGGCAGCAGAAAAGTTTGGCACGCCCCTGCCTACAAATGTCATTGTTTTGTGATACAAATTCGGATTACAAGTCGAAAATACAGAAAAGTTGCGAGTTTTGCTCTATGTATAGTATAGTGATGAATACAGATATATATTATGGGCAGACGCAAAAATGAGAGACATACGCTAATCAGGGAAGTTGAATACAAACATATATGTCCATGAATGTAGTGTAACATCCCACTTTACAATACATATATTATACAATAGATGAGTTGATTTACGATTCTTACTTGTCCAGATATAGTTTGAATAATTCATTGCCGCGCGCATTATTTATCAGTAGGAATGAAAACGCTATGTTAGGAATAAATTAATAATATCAAAAAGATATGGCACGATATTTATCCGCTTAACTGCCATATAAAGCTACATCGTACGAGTGTTCATGGCATTTATCAAATAATAATCTTCCAATTTTGACAAATTATCTGTCAAATGACAATAATTTTGCTCCAAATGATTTTTAAGAAAACACTTGTTAGACAGGTGCTACTTGTACGTGTTATTATTTGATCATAATCGTTTTTGAATTAATTGGTGATTTTGTTTATAAGCTACCATAAAACAACGATGTTGAGTCCAGATGCCTTGAATTTCTAAATTTAGAGTCACCAAGCCCAAATCATTTATCAACCTCAAGATTGAAGAAATACTGTTAATGGGATATTGGCACGATTGTATTTAAAACGATGACAAAACACAAAAGCCAATCTCTCCTCGTTGACGTAAAATCGATCGAGGTCGATTCCAACGTGCGTAACGAGCTTGAAAACGTCAAAATAATTGGCGACAACGCGTTTCCTAAGTAAACCTACCGAGCACACGACCGATACGTTTTCGTTTTGTTTACGCGGCCCTCGACATGCAGGGTCGATGAGGCATCCAGGGCCAAGTGAAGATCAATATACATCAACAGCTAAATAACCCTACTGACGTAATTGTCGTTATCTTGCAGTTAGAAGCAATCACTAACTCTCTGCATCCGAGGACTCCGATAACTCTCGGTCGCGTCGCATTTTGTCCGTATTTATTGAATTCTCGTTTAGCCAAATCGTGGAAATGGAATTTTTTGACATAATCAGGCAGTTCATTTGCATATAGCCAATGATATTTATATTCCTAATGTGCGGAGCGAATCCTTTGTAAATAAATCTATATAAATGTGCCCGGAGTGCTGAATAATATGAGTTTCACGAACATATTTGTGATTTTAGTTTGCTAAAATGATGATATAAAATTATAAATTAAAGGAAAAATATTTATTGAACTATTTTATTTTGGTTTGTGGGTCTGACTAACTGAAGGGGAGTATGAATACAGACTGTAAAATTCAAATTCATCCATCCATTAAAAATTAAATACCATTAAGGTGGTAACTAGATTGCTTCTGACAGAATTTAGTATTGATTCAACAAATGAATGACCGATTGGCACGAAATTGCCGTCAAAAAAACACGAACACTAAAGCGCGAACCCGAAAGACTATTCATATGGAGTGAAGGTATGTTGAGGCCAATTAAATAAAAAGTGTTTATCATCTTGTGCGTGTAATCCGTTCCGTAAAAAGTATGAATTATACAACAGAACAATGCGAAAGCAATATCTGGACACGAAGGCTAAAACGAAGTAGTACGGGTATCAAATATTATACAGTACCGGTACCGTTGTTTCCCGAATTCGACAGATCGCGAACGCGGAACCGCCACAATGTGCGCAATTTTTTTATTTTGATAGCGTCATCCCACAAAAATTCGAATTTTTCTGTGGAAAACAAATCCCACAGGTATTTTTAGAATAAATAAAAGTAATATCCTTCTAGCGACAACAACAATCTTTCCATTTGAAAATTTCAAAGCGAAAAATTTCGGTTTTCCACAACAACAAAAAAAAGATTACTAACAACGGTATAATAACAAAACAATGTATAGGCATATTTCGTGTCCAATAACGCATGTTACGTGTTTGATCAACATTAGGTATACACTCATCCTGAAGAGTATGGCTCGAATTTTAACTGTGATTGGGGTATTAATAAAACTTGTAAAATTTGACGCCATACCCCCTAGCTCTCAAATTTTTTTTATTGAAGCCTTGTTCAGGTCAAAAATATCGTAAGGGAGTTTGTCGTGAATTACGTGATTTCAATATTGCTGGTCGTTGAAATTTTCTCCCAAAATATCCACTATTGTATCCATTGTTAGTTTGAAATCAAATTCCTTTGCGATCTCATGCTGTGACATTCTATCTAAATCCCGTTCTTTATATCACACAAAACTAAATTACTTATAATAATTTCAAATAGAATAAAAGAATTAACTCACGATGTCCTACGTTCAATTTTAACAATAACTCTCCAATACAATGCACACATCGCCATTGCTGGGAAATAAAAAGCACCAAAAGCTGTAATTAACGTTAACGGAGCACTGGAATCCATGAATGGGATAGTACAGACTCCACGACTGAACGGATCATTGTCGGTGGGAGGGGCAATCGCCTCCCACAGTAAAATTGCTGGAGCCCAAAGCAAGATTGAAATAGTCCATGCGATGCAAATAACAAAGGCCGCCATTTTCGGAGTGCATCTTCGTCGGTATTTAACTGGAGAAGTAATCGCCATATACCTGTGAATGACGAGTAATATTAAAATCGAAAAAATTCAACCATTTTGCCATGCATAAAGAAAAAAGTCAGCTACCGTGCTGTATAACTGAAACAAAATCTCAAAAACACGAAGCCATAATTTATATATTTCATTTCGTGCAAAATTAAATGGACAACATGTGAGATAATCGACTGACAGGTTGAACTATACACTGGTGATCATCTCTAAGTAGCGTGGACGGGCTATATATATGTTCATACCCTTACCGCGCGTCTATCTTTTTTGTTTGAGGACGATATGTATATTTTAAGTTTCTGCTTTTGTCTACTTCCGCCCTCAATTATAAGTACGGTGATAAATGCGATGCTAGGGATGACGAAGGAAATGAGACATATATACAGTATATACAGAAATATTTTTCGCCAAATACGTCAATACGCCAGCGGTTGACACAAATCGTTTAAAATTATTCAAGTCGTCACTGTCAGGAAATTAGCTAAATGGAACTATTCACGTTGAATTATTAAGCAAATAACACTAATGAAGGTTAAATCGATGATCGTAAGCCCGAACAAGCAAACATCTCTTCGGTAATTTATGAATGTTTATTTGCAAATATTATTTTTATTTGTCAATAAGTCATATATATATATAACGGAAATCGTCATACCCAAATATTAAAAAATATTCGTGAATATATAATAGCATCTCGGAGTAGCTGAAATGAGAAAATTATCAAGATATATTAAAATAGGGTCTGGCAGATTATACCACAAGAGCGTCAATTTGACAGCCATTGCTAAAAAGTAATGAACAACAACAATATCGTAAAAGACAGCAAGCCTATTTTCTTCTCTATTCACATTATTTGATCAGACAGTTGCAAAGGTTATTCAAACAATTACCTTTTCCCTCTTCGGAAAAACAGACCACATAATTTTGTATGAGCTGTGTAAAACACACAGAAAATTCACTAGACATATATGGTTATCCAATGGTGAGGGGTAACTGTAATATACGATATAAGTTTGGTCTGTAATTGATTTGTATAGTATATGTAGAGATTTTAATTAAAAAAATCTTGATATTCAAGGAATAAGTTGATGATAACGTATGGCCATTCACGAGGCTTTTTATTGGGAACCTTATTACTATTTGAATAGTCTGATGTATACTTAGTTTTGTCTTGAATTTGAATTTGTTAACGTGATAATCAATATTGTACCACATTTCATGTACAAAAAGGAAATCAATACCTTACATATGATTCGCCAATTTTTATCTGCAAATATTTAATTTGATATATGACAGATTGGCAGTGCATAATAGGTTTAGCAACTTTTCCATATATTTTAAGGTTTATCACGGTTGGCGCTTTGGACTTCATCGCGTCGCAGTTGAATATTGCGAGATAAAATCTCAAACCGTTCTGTTAATTTCAAAATCGTTTGCTCTTTGCGTATGAGTGAATGCTAATAGAGAGTCTCCGAGTAGAATATTATGAGCAGAGGACGAAAAACACAGGTACATAATTGTTGGTTCCGGTCAATTAATACCCAACAACCAAATTAATTCAATGCCTTTTTCCCGAAAATAAAAACATAACTTACCGATCTATGCAAATCATCAAGAGGTTCATTACTGATGTATTGCTAACAACATAGTCAACTGCCAGCCATGCATTACACATCCCTTTACCAAGAGTCCATGTGGAGTTGACGTTATAAACGATGTAAATGTTCATTGAAAACATACCTGGAAAATAGGAAGAAAAACATATAGAACTCACACTTAAAGTAATATTTTACTATTCTTGTAAATTATATACTGCAACAGCCATGACAGAAAGGATGTCGCATGTTCATGTTAGCCGGCAGTGAAAGACTTTGTATTGAAAATATAATGCGGGGGAACTCCTTGAAACGAAAAAACTCCTCTAAGCATGGTTACGCTCTCTCAGCAGCAAAGGAGACTCAACTCCTGGACAAAGTTACTTGTGGCACTGATATGCCAAAAGCTATCGTAACTATATAGAATTATATGGTGGTGCATTACACGCCAGTAAATTCGGTTGACTTGAATTCGAAGCGGTGGAAGATAGCGATTTTATCTTATGGCTCTGGAGAGAGGATCTTGCCAGACGTTGCAACAATGAAACTTTTTTGTAAGTAAAAAATCAAACCATGAAAGGATAAAATCAATTTTGTATTCATATTATTGGTATTCGGATTATTTTATATATACGCGTATTTTGTTTAAAGTAAATTTAAATCATCGTAAACTTTGGCTGATCTTTGTCTTAATTGCTTCCAACCACAAGCCTCCATACGCCATTGACATGTCATCTCAAGCTTAGCGAAACGTCATTAAAAGTTTCATATGACGTTTTGACTTTTATAGGTATAGCGTCCGAGTGAACTCCCAAAAAGTCAATGGGTCATCACAGGTCAGTTCTTCGTGTTCATGCTTTGTAAAGTAAATAATATTAATGTGCACCACGAACTTTGACACCTGCTTTAACAGTACACAATACATTTACATCGATTATTAAAAATTGTCATTCTAATTTGACCAGGGAGAAGTTTTGCATACATCGCCAATGAAAGCAAGAAGTACGACTAAAATTTGGAACGAATTTTGTGTACTTTCAACCTGATAATAGCATCGGATAAGGCGTGTATTCCCCCAGAATCCTTCAATTATTTATTTACTTTTTGGCGAAGTCATTTGACCCCCGATTTCCAGCTGTTGATGCTGGTGTAAACAGTCCAATTCCACTGGCCACAAAGCCATGAAATTGTTTCGAATATTCTCTGAAGTTGGTAACCTTTTTATCACCTCAAACTGGTCTCAAAAGAAAAATGGTTTTCATAAAATCCTAAATCTGAAGCGCAAAATTTATTAAAGTCCATGGAAGTTGCGGCTAACGTTACAAAACGTTAACAACATAACATTTTTGACCGTTACAAAAGTATACACCCCGGTAACGATCTTTTCACAGGCGGGTACTGGTCACGGTCGTGTAGTCGATGACCGTTGCTCTGAACAACGTTAAAATACGTATATTTTAGCGTGGCCTATTCTAGCTTAAGTTCAATCAAACAATTTTACCAACAAAACTCCATAATTAACCGTCAGTTTACCATTTCGAAAATGCACATATTATTTGGGAATATAGCTATTATTGTTTCGCCCAGACATGTTCGACGTTTATTCCCTCGAGTGATCTGCATAATTATAGATAGATGGTTTCTTTGGCGTCCTGGAAGTTTATACCTTTGGGAAGCAGTTTTCTTTAATCAACTTACGAGTAAAAACAGACGAGACTAATAAACGTCGAGTTAACTGGGTTTATTATACCATTAAAGTGAAATCATAATATTTAGATTTATTTGGATGGGTTTTTTGTCAAAATACGGCTTTTAAGATCCAACATTCCCTGTAGATCGTTGTTTTTTTCTATCTGATGTAAATAGAGTATTCTCCGAAGTGGACATTTTTTCAATAATATGATTTTTTTTCAGTGGTGATACTACTCGGAAAAAGCGGTAATTTTTCGAGTTGATTTACAGTTATCGCACTTTATTGAAACCTATGAAAAAGCTAACATTTTCCCAAATATGATAGCTAAACAGATTCTATCAAACTGCAAAACTTCTAAACTAATTTTACCATATCAGAAGAAAATATTTGTAAAATTTGAGTAAAACCTTAGATTTTGCTGGAAATGCAAAGATTGAATGGGAATACTGTAATTGGAAATTGTAATTCTTATGCAAACTATAATTTAGCAAATGCATCGTGATTATCTCGTTGGGCTAAATTATGTTTGGACTACATGTTGGAGATCGTGGGTTAAATAATAAATCTCCCAATCACGAATTGGAGAAAATTTCAGCGACAGCTAAAACACAGAAACACTGTGATTGTAAATAGCTCAATTATTCTGATTATAAAATTATAGAAACGGATGGTACTTTTGGTAGGATTTTGTTTTCTATTCCTCCATCAAAGCAATGATGAAACATGGACAAGAGCAAGTTTGTTTTTTATGTTTTCATTTATTCTATTGCCCATGAAAAAGTTTTGACGAGCTTTATCCAAACTTTTACGTTTAATACGTATTTATTTCCTGTGATGTAAATCGAGACGAACTGGGAAAAATTTCACCCTTTTAGCATTAAATTATGACAAGGAAAAGGTTTAACATAATATGCAGATTTAATCAATTCGATTCATAAGATTGTTTTGTGCACATAAACAATCATTACGTGACTGAATATCCGATATAGTGATACTTCTCCCCCGAAGTTAATTTTAACAAATTCGATCATTGTAAGTCAAGTTCTAAATGCGAGCGTAAGATAGGAAGTAATTTTAAGGAAACGTATGGGAATATTCCGATACGCACTCACAATTGCAAAGTTAAGAAACTACTATGTGAACCAATTATACAGAGTGTTACAGGACTTAAAAATTTTGATACGACATATTGTTTATTAAATGGAGTAAAAACTTAAACAGACACTGAATAAAATGAAACAACCCTGGTTCAGATATACTGAAAACTGACTTCATAACAAAATTGATATTTTTCCTTAGGACATTATGAGAATCCTGTATTATAATCTGTTTATAATAGGTGATAATCATAGGCTGGATTATCTTAAACCTAAAATCTATAGCTTCTTTTTTCGACATTAGACCAACGAAATAACAACTTTTTTTATTGCAATCTAGGCGTGATCCTGTTTGGGCGTATCATTTTTAATTTATTCAAAGCAATCGACTAGAATTTCTTCTCGATGCAATGAATATACGCGTTGTAATTAATTTCTGAAATAATGCTTTTAATAATTAAAATTGAATAATTAATGACATACAACCTAATCCCTTGTACATGATCTTGTCTTATTACTTGTTTATGTCAACGATATGCCTGAAAAACAACTTTTAAAAAGTTAGAATACTGTTGTAAACGAGTAAAATTTCACGCAAAATTTAGGTTTGAACTATTTTTCTGGCAGTAATCCATGGAATTTTCTCCAGTTTTACATCATTAAGTATCAAACTGTGTTGTAGTTGCCCTCGTTTGAGTAAGCCCCGGTACCAGACTTGGGGAAAGTGCATGAAAAAAGTCCTCTATTTTAATCTACTTATATTAATATATATTATGTTTCATTTCACAGTAATCATAACGAAATTAATCCGATCATATTAAAGTAAAATGAATTTTTTATGAGTTGGAATATTCTTCAATAAAATCATACAAATTTAATAGACATTTTTAAATTTCCCAAATTTTCCCAAATTAATGGTTACTATTTGGAATTTTTTAACAGGGGCTATGTATGAAAAGACATTATAAGCAGCCACCTATGTAGAGTAAATCAGTAAACAGTCTGTTTAGGGAGTTTTCATGGGTCGGCAATGGGCATCGTTTTTTCGCAGGATCCATATCAAGCTTGGGTGGCGTGATTGAAGGCATGGTTTTTAACCCGTGATATTCCATGGTGCAATTTTTCATATTTGAAAAGGCGTAATCATATGACAACCCGCAGCGTCTCGCCTGGTTACCAGTCCATGTCAGGTATGGATATAGCTTACCAGTCATCTTTTAAGGATGCATGAGCTTGGTGGTGGAAGCGATAACCGGTCAGTGGTTACATGAAACGTCACACTATTAATGACTGACCACTGGCGTCGGACCTGCGAGACGCTAAAAATATCAGAGACGCGATGGCAAGCGCGTTCATTACGTGTAGCACGATTCGCGGAGCCGTACCTAAAAGATTATCTAGAATGCTTTGTCGAGTTCAATCTTGATATATGGCAATGGGAACTGACAACTGAAATGTCACAATAAAAACTGTCTTCAAATTAAAGATTTCCCTGCATTCTATTTCGGAATAAGACAATATAATTAAGTATTCCAGTCATATCCAATTTTCTCGCGTGTCAGTCAATACTACAAAATTACGACTGCGTTTCACAACAGGAAACATATGAAATACATGCAATTCAAAGCAGTTTGTCCATAAACTTGAGACGCACAATGACCTTTCGTTTTTAAACATTTGTGGCGAAGAAGATTTGTCTAATCCGAAAATTCTCTTGAGATGTGAATAGCATTTCATGAAATTTTATTTCCTCATTTTCCTTCCAGGAATATTATTCATTTTAAGCATGTACCAGATTTGAATCAGATCCATTCCAGAACAAAGACAGACACTCAATCACGGCGCATGCTTTATTTTATTGCGAATTTAAAATCGAAGAAAGATACCACTTCCACGGTGAGGAACGCGAAATACGGCAAGTGGAAAAAGATTCTTAAATCAGTGATTATTTAATAGTTTAACTCCAATCATCTAAGGCTGAAGTATGATTGAACATTTTGAAAAAACGGTTCAATTTAGATCGCGGCCACTTTGTTTATTACTATTACTTTTGTCGGATTCCGACAATACGTACACAATGGCAGTGCCCAACGAAGAAGTGCAAAAGTTTCTTTTTTGATTTGAAGTGACCAAATCACAGTTTCATATCAACTGCAAGAAACTGTGAAATCACCACCTCTGCTTCTGGCCACAGTATTTAATTTTGCAATTTAATATCCGACATAATTATTATCACTCTAAAAATTTGTGTTCATACTTTTACTGTTCCAAATTAATCTAAAAATATTTAGGTCTTTTATATTGAATATAATTGTAATTCATTCCAAATGTTACTTAAGCATAGATTCACGATCG